ATTCAGCAATAAAAAGAAATGAAGTACTGATACATGGATGAACCTTAAAAACATTATGCTAAATGAAAGAAGCCAGTCACAAAACACTACATATTGTGTGATTCCATTTTTATGTATAAAATAGGCAAATCTATAGTGACTAAAAGTACATTAGAGTTGTAAGGAAGTTAGAGTGAGGGTGAGAGGGTAGAAGAGATGACAGAGTGGCAGCTAATAAATACGGAGTTTCTTTTGGGATGATCAATATATTCTAAAATTGACTGTGATGATAGTTGCATAACTCTGTGAATATACTAAAAGCCACTGAATTACACACATTACTTAGGTGAAGTACACAGCATGTGAATCAATCTTAATAAAGCCGTTATATTAAAAAAAAGAGAGATACTTTTTGAAGGTTTGATTATTCTTTCACCAGCCTAAGTTAGTAGCACTCTTACACACAAGTACTGCTTAGTACCAGCTAAGATCTTGAGGGGAATATTCTATAGATCTCTGAGACTTTCTCTTTGTAGCTCTCTATCTTCTCAGTTACCCTGTCCTGAGAATTTTAGCCCCTTTGTTCTCTCCCAAGAGAGACTTGTATGTTTAATTATGTACAATTCTAAAATGTAAACAAGTAGTCAGTATCATGAAAATTAGGATTATATTTGTATCATAGTTTACAAGGTGGGAGTCCATAGAGCACAGACAACTTTCAGGGAGAAAAATCTTTGAACCATTATTACTTTATGACACTATTTGGCAATAAAGAATTTCTTTCTCTCCAATTTGCTTTCTTATTTCCCTAACTACTGTCAGTCTCATATAGGTTCAAAACTGCTATTCTGCTATACTTCTTAACCCTGAAGATGTTTAACTGTTCTGAGTTTGTCACCTATAAAATGGAATGTTAGCGTACCAACTTTAGGAGATGGCTGTATAAGTTAAATTGAGTAACATTTAAAATCACTGTCTCAGAAATAAAATTCTATAGTTAACAGCAATTTCAATCACTCTGGATAGAAAAAACAATTATACGTGTAGAAAATAATTTTCTTATAAAGAAGAGTCAGATCTTTCTTCTGAAATGTGGTATCATTAACATTTATTTATTTTTGCCACATAAACCTAGAAACAGACTTTGGGTAAAAGCTAGAATAGTCTGTTAAAGTCATTCAGAATTTTTGAAGGTCATTAACATAATCCCACACATTTTACAGAAAAAGAAAAGTAAGTCCTGAAGAAGTTAAACAAATATGCCCTATTTATATAGCTAATAAGGCTAAGAAAATATGAGAACCTAGGTTGTTCAACTTACAGATCAAGGGCTCTTCACTACATATACCACTCTGCTCTTAAAAACTACTTAACTATGTTTTATTTTTTTGGTTTATAGTGCTTCTTCCACATCGAGGTGGTTTTATTTTTCTAAATATTATCTTTCCATTGGTTTTAAAACCAAACTCACTGCCGTCAAATTGGTCCCAACTTATAGCGACGCCTCCTTGGGTTTTAATCTTCCTATGTTAGGCTTTCTGTTCAATCAACTATTTCTCCTTTCTTCCTTCTTACGATAATCTTGATTTTTCCACATACTGAACAGCAATATATTCAATGAAGTTGAGCCTCAATTCTCACCCCAGGGGATAAACCATGACTGATCTAAGTAAGTATGTTAATCTATTCTACTCTGCTAGTGAGTGGATTTGTTCAGGGCAGCCATGTAACCAATGGGACCTTAGTGAGTGAGTTTTGTGGGCTTCTGGAAAAGATGTTTCTTCTTGATTTTTTGTTTAAAAGGAAATTTGTAGGGAGGGGTCTCCTTTCAGTTTCTTTGGTTGCTGCCTTTAGTACCAGACTCATCTCTAAAAAGGGGAGAAAGCTCACTTGCACATTGCTATCTGAATGAACTCAAGAGTTGTTTTAGTCTGGATTAAATTATTAACCAGTAACCAGATGTCACTGAGTTGGATTCTGACTAATCGCAACCCCATGTGTATGAGAGCAGAACTGTGCTTCATAGGGTTTACAGTGGCTGATTTTTCAGTAGATTTCAGGCCTTTCTGTCAAAGCACCTCTGGGTGGACTTGAACCTCTAACCTTTTGGTTAACAGCAGAATGCATTAACTGTTTGTACCACCCAGCGGTTCTGGATTAAATTATTATACAAGTGATAAACCTCTGTTTAGTCAGGTAGTCAATACCTGTGGCCAATAGCCTCCAAATACAAAACCCCAGTATTTCTAGTGAAATTATTTTACCTATCTTCTATAACAAAAGAAAACAAAAACTTCCTTCTCATATCAAATAATATGAAGTATAATTTTCCAAATTAGTATTTTATTAAAAATCAATTAGCTGTGATACTAAGAAAGATGCTGTTTAGTGGTTCAAAACTTTAGGATTTGACTAAAGGAACTAATTTAAAATAATAATCATATGTCTAACAATATAGAAACAAATCTAAACCCTTGCACTCATTCTAAAAATTTCTAAAAATAACTTCAAAATACTTAAGAGTAAGCTGAGTTTCAAAAAGTCATATGCTATTCCCAGCACTTTTTAAAATAAATTGATTTTAGAAATACACCGTTACAGTGACATAAATCTTAAAAATCTTGTACCTATTGACAGTCAGTGGATTTTATATGAAATAAATTTTATATGAAACAGTAAATTATATTACACATATACATTGCCTCTTAAATTTTCAAGTGGTTCCTTATCAGAGGACAAAAATACAAAAAGAAAACTTTTACCATCATAAGTGAGAACAACAGGCAATATTTAAGAAATCTTAAAATTATGACAATACCACTCTAGGATTAAGAAAGTCATAAGAGAAAAGGCCTAAAAGCAACCATAAAAATATCTGTCACAAAACCCAAATATCACTGAAGACAACCATAAAGAAGTCATCCTCAAAAAGAGGCTACAGATCTGGGGTACTACTCTAACTTTTAGTTATGCCCTAGGTTTCAAAACAGGAGAACAAACTAGGACTTACTAAAAAATGATGGTAGCAAGCAAGTAAAGAAAGTAATCTGTAAGCAGAAAAGTGGAGGCTAAACACCAAAGAAGTTAGAGTCACATATACACAATAGCTCCCCAAGGACATCGCAGCAGAAGAAACAGCTACTTTCTGTCCTAAGAAAAGAGACTCTCAAGGTCACCCCAATTAGATAAGGTGATGAGGACGCTATTTAAAATAAACCCTGAATTAGATGCATGTTTCCTAATCCTAATTAGCTGTATACATTTTCCAAATATAACCCACTGCCATTGAGTTGATTCTGATTCACAGCAACCCTACGGGACCAAGTCAAACTGTCCCAATGGGGTTTCCAACGCTGCAAATCTTTATGGAAGCAGACTGCCTCATCTTTCTCCCACAGAGCTGCTGGTGTGTTCAAACCGCCAACTTTTCTGATTAGCAGTCAAATCAAATGCTTTAACCACTACCCTACCCAAACTCCTTTTCCAAATACAATAAGACAAACCACTTAGAAAGTTGAAGGGGAGGGGGGCGAGAAAAAAAAAAGATAACATTTTGATCAGTACTCAAAGTTAAAATTAATCATTTTAGCTGAAGTTTCAAATTTATTGGGATATACAAATTTTAAAACGTAAGACAAATACTATTTATATCTACCCAACGTTAAGTAGTCACAGTAGTACTATAGGAAAGAGAAGAAGAAAGATAAGAGCTCCAAATGAGCTTACAGGGTATCTTCTTAGAACTATAATCATTTATTGGTCAATTCTGGCATTGATACAGCTACCCAAAAGTTATCAATCATTATGATGCTTCTCCCCAATTCACAATTCAAAGATGTATTTGTTTCCAGTAAAAATATATACATTAGTTTGATGTTATTAAATTACATACTTTCAGCCTCAATTTAATAAATTAATTATTGACCATTAGAGAAACATATAAAAAGAAGAAATTATACATACAACCACTTTTTCTAAAATTGTCCCACAAGTCAGTCCTGAATATTAAATCTACTGTATCTTTAAGTTTGGAGATATTTCAAATAATATGTCTCTCTTAACTGAGACAATCAATTAGGGAAAATTAATGAAAAGAATCTTTGTAAAGTGTTCAGCATGATTACTAACAGAAAGAAAATTTGATCTCATAACCAATCAGATGTATAATAAATAGAAATGTCTTTTATTTCAAGTTTAGAAAAGGAATCCTGATCTGAAATGCACACTGAAGTACGTAGGGATAAGGAAGGTATCATGATGTCTACAGCTTACTTTCAAATGGGAATAAATATATATAATCTGTGTAAATATCAGGAGCTCTGGTGGCGTAGTGCCTAAGGCACTTGACTGCTAACCAGAAGGCTGGCGATTCAAATCCACCAGCCACTCCTCAAAAGGAAGACTGAGCAATCTACTTCTGTAATGATACTATCTTGGAAACCCAAGGAGGGGTTGCTATGAGTCGGGATTGAGCTAACCAGAAGGCTGGCGATTCAAATCCACCAGCCACTCCTCGAAAGGAAGACTGAGCAATCTACTTCTGTAATTATACTATCTTGGAAACCCAAGGAGGGGTTGCTATGAGTCGGGATTGAGCTAACCAGAAGGCTGGCGATTCAAATCCACCAGCCACTCCTCGAAAGGAAGACTGAGCAATCTACTTCTGTAATGATACTATCTTGGAAACCCAAGGAGGGGTTGCTATGAGTCGGGATCGACTTGACAGCAGTGAGAGAGTATAAACAGCAGTGAGAAAGCAAATCTGGCAAAATAACAATCAATGCTGAACCTAAGTGGAAGGTATACAGGTAGGTGTTCAGAGTATGCTGTGCATGGAAAATTTCAAAGTAAAGAGTTGGGAAAACAAGACCCCTGACTGGCTTTTAGTCTCAGGGCTCTTCTATCCTCATTTGAAACAACTATTACAAAACTGTTATGTTTTTCAAATAAAAGTCACAATTCTAGTAGAGAGCTTCAAAACGTTGTTTTAAAGGCTAAAATCAGTGAATTAATTGTTTTACCTGAAAGTTAACATCTTCTTTCTTAAATATTAGTGCACGAACTTCATCAGGATCTCCGTTAAATATTGCTTGCACCAGTGATGGCTAAAATAAAAAAGATAATAATAATATTAGTCATACCACATAGATGATTCTAAAGGCATTTCCACATAACTTCTAAATTGAAAATTTTTCTTCCCTGTAGCACCAATCATCACTTTTTTTGACATAAGCCAAAAGTTTTATGAAGCTAAATCAAGTACAGGATTCATCCTTGGGGGGAAAAAAGCCTTTTTTTTTTTTAAAAAAAAAAGCCACCTTTATGGTGCAATAGTTAAGCACTCAGGTGTCACTCGCAAGTTCTGTGGTTCAAACCCACCAGGTATTCTGTGGGAGAAAAGACCCAGGTATCTGCTCCTCTAAAGATTATAGCCTTGGAAACCCTATGAGGCAGCTCTACTCTGTATGGGTTTAAACTGACTCGAGTGCATAGAGCCAATGCAAAAAAATAAGGTATCTCAGTATGACCTAAATAAGGTGGTATAATGAATACAATTAGATTTTTTTTTTCTTTATCACAAGTTGAAGCCTTTTATTTATTCATTTGGTAAAAAGTCTTCCAGATACTAGTATGACACCTCAGTATGTACTTATGGGATAGAAAGAACTTATTAAGCAAGCAGTTCCCAATCCATGATAAAGCCCATGAAGGAAGGCCCCTTTGAAAAGTTCTATTGGGGCATCAAAATCATTTGCAGGGATTAGCTTTGTATGTGTCAAGATATAAATCTCAAGAAAGCAAACCTGGCAGTTTATGAAAATAACTGCTTGTGGGGGAAAAAAAAGTACCATATACCTGAACGACATGAAGAGACAAACACATGCATGTCTAAATATAACAATTTCCTAATATACAACACAGCCTGATAAGATATCATATTATACTAGTGAAAGAAGCCAATTAACAACAGCATTAAAAATAAAGACAAAATCTAATTCTTCTTCTATAGTTTTGCAGGTAAATACATAAAATCCATTACAGAAAAGGTCTGTCTTCCTGAGCGTAGCTACTAGTCGTCAAGCTTTCCTAAAACATGCAGAGTTCCTGTTTCAGTTACATCGGTTTCTAAAACCACACGATGAAAACAGAAACGTGGTTGCCATAACTACTATTTTTCAAACTATTTTTAAAAAATCTTAAGAGATTAAGAGAAGTCTAAAATATTATCTAAGCATCTATATAAGTGAAAATCAGAAATATGTGCATTTTACACACAAGTAATACTACATGATATTTAAGCATCTATATTTGCTTTAATTTAGGGTTTTGAATGGAACTACTGGAAAATAACTTTTATTTATTCTTAAAAAATAAAATTTCCCCTAATAGTTCAGTAGCATACAGTAAACATATAAACTCTCATATCTTACCAATACATTTCCAGAAGGCAGAGAATGTAGGCATTTACTTTCCTGTGGCAATTTAGAAATGAATGCAGGAGATTCATCTTCTACCTCCTCCAAAACAACAATACACACTCGACTCATTCGCTCTTTTAAAATACTAAATTCAAAGCTCTATGATAAAAGTCACAGTAGGAAGAGCACAAGTAGTTTTTCCTCCTCTTCTGTACAACACTTAAAAACATTCTCTGTGAACAGCACAGCTGGTTTTCTAAAGTTACTAACTAGGTACTACTGGAAAAACTGAAGTTTAAAATTATGACCACATAACTTGTAACTTTCTAAAAACAATAAAATTTTATTATTTTCTGATTTACTGCAATACTTAAATTTCAACTCAACATGTCAATAACTAAAACTGAGTCCAGTACAAGTTCATTTAAAAATATTTTCCCCTGCCAAAATAGTCATACTGTTCTAATAGACATTTACTTGCACAAAAAGGTCACTGTTTTTGGTGATACACCACCACACAATGCAGAATGAAATGAGAAACAACTGCTGAGACAGAGATGATCACGGCTATACCCACTCTTGCCTGCAAGGTCATATAGTTACCAGTAGCTGGCTTTCTTGTAATTGGGGGGAAAAAAAAATCTCACTATTCTGTTTCCACTTCTAATTTGTCTTCATTTCTTCAGCTTCACGGGTTTAATGCGGATACTATCCAGAGGAAAAAAAAAAAAAAAAAAAACTGTAGCTAGAGCTCAGCACAAATCCTGAACATGAAGCTTAGAGGTTGACAGTTCTTGCTGTGTTTGGGAAAGAAACAAAGGGGAGGGGGGACCATTCCGCATTAATAGCAAAGCTGCAGTACATTTACATGCGATGAGTCAGACCACAAGAGACAATAGAACTCTTGGTACTAGAATACAGCTTGATTAATCCAGACTTCCCAAATAATAGAAGAAACACAGATAGCTTTATTCCCATCAACAGCATAACCAGGGCAGAATGTTCATTCTTTCTCCATCAGGCAGTCGTCTGTGGCTGCTCCAGCAAAAACGGCACAGGCACCAGGCAGAAATGGTGTTAGAGGAGAATCCTAATAAAACAAGCAGGCTGTGAAGGAATTAGAAGGCATCTGAGCTCAAATTACAGCTTCAGGTTTTTTTTTTTTGGGGGGGGGAGGAGGAGAAAAACAAAACAGTTTATCACTCCAGTGTGTCCTTTGATCGCCACATGAATACAGCTTCCATTAAAAAATCTTCATTCAGAAGGAAAAAACAGCAGACTGTGCATCTTCTTTTGAGCCAACTACTTTATTCAATCATCTCCTCATGTGCCAATAGTTTCCTTCCACTGTGAAAACCACTTCAGTTACCCTTTTCAGTAGATTTCAGATGCTTTCCTGTTCCTCAGATGATCTTGCAAAACACCACTGATACTCCAAACAAGTAGGTCTTTTAAAAATATCTACAGAACCTCAGAATCGGCTCCACAGAAGCATTCCAACTAAGCAACAGTCGGAAGAGCAAAGACTGCAGACCCGCAGGATGAAATGCCTAGTAATGCTCACATGTTACACTTACCAAAGATCTGAGCTACTTGCTCAGGATGTAACTTCCTCTAGCAGGAGAAAAAAATAGTGCATTTGGACAGCCTTCACAATTAGACGACTCATGCCAGTTCTGTGACTAATCCAGATCAAACTGAAAAATTCTGTAACTGAAAAATGAGTGCGCTTTTAACATTTTCCACTAAAAGCCACAAGGAAATATGGTGTACTGCCTCTGCTGACTAACCCTGGTTTTAGCAAGTAAACAATTCCAAACAGCTTAACTGCTTTCTTATGTTACAATATAGCAAATGTTTAACCCTATAATGACAGCTGCATTAATATACACTGAACCCATGAAAAAGATTAAAAGACAAATATTTTATCAGAATATAAAAACCATGAACCTAAGTAAAGGTTTTAGTCTTTTTTTGTTAACCATGATCATTTTTAATCTACCACGTGTTACTTCTAAAGCTACAGATAAGTTTAAACAAAAGAAATTTATGATTTTCTAATAATTTCTAATTAGTTGAATGTAATCAAACATTGACATTTTTAAAGTAAAAAATTAAAATTTTCATATTATAGCAATTCTAACATTCTGTAAATGATTTGTATTTTAACTGAAGAAATGAAGTATGTCTACCTCCCCACCTGGAAAATGGAATAAAGCCTTAGAATCTCTTAAATAGCTGTACAAAGCAACTGTTTAAAGATCTTGGTATTGAATTATCTGTATGTCAAAGTAGTGTAAGATAAAACACAAAGAATCTCTCTCCCCTACAAAATAATTTCCTCAAAACTACAAATGATTGTCAAAAACGACCATTTTGTAGGTTTTTTTTTTCTTCTTCTATTTCTCTGTACCCAATGATGGAGGATATTTCCCAACAGAAAAATAAGAAAATACCATCATCCCCTTTTAATCTGTGCCCTTTCTTCCATTAACTGGTATTTTTATTAATAAACATAAGCTATTTTTTTAACATGATGTGCTAAGTGCTGTATGTTTCTATTTTTTAACATGGTGTGCTAAGTGCTGTATGTTTCTATTTAATATGTTCCATAACCTTACTAAATTCCAACATTATAGAGGGAAAAATAACTCAGAAATTAAGATTTTATTCAAAGTCACGCAAATTAGTAAAGTTGTCTCTAACTCCGAACACATATTCTTTCCAATCTACTCTGCTGTCATTGTGTGTGTACACACACACACGTTCCAGATCTTTGCCAGCTTATAAAAGTGGTCTTAAAAGACAGGTAATCTATGATGACTGTGAAAAATTTAGGGAACAAAGTAATATACTCTCTATTGCAATTATATTCCAAAAAGTTATTTTTAAATGAGTATTTTAGGGCTAGTCTTAACTCATGCATTAAGCTAGTTTAACTATCAAAAAGGGGGAAAAAAATTATACTGATAATGTGAGAATGCCAGAAATTTACTAAAAACTATTAAAAGCTATAGAGTATCAATCTATGGAAGAGCCTATAACCCTACATATCTGAACCAAGGTACTAAAATATGTCAACAATTCACAAAGCTGTATTTTAATATGTAAAATGGTTTCAAGCCACATTAAAAGCATGCAAATATTTTGACACACAAAAATGCTATTAACCAGCTCCACGAGGCAGAATCAAAAACATCATCTTAAAATTGGAAGTATCTGAAAATGAAACAGTAACGTACTCCATATTCCATTTTCAGGGTACTCCCTCCCCCCGCATTAAATTCTTTTTATATAGGCAATTTTAACTTATTCCAAACTATGTATTGCATAAATTCATCTACTTAAGGCTCAAACAGGTACATCCTATTTCTCATTCCAGGCCAACTTCCATATTTAGGTCCTTCCCAACCAAAAAGCAAGATTCTTGAAGGCAGAGACTGTTATATACATATTGTTTCCTTCCACTTTCTTCCACCTGTAAATAATTTCATTGAAACAAATTCCATGTCACAAGATTCTAGAACAGAATGGCAGAATTATAAACACAATCTTTGGAGGAGGCAGGGAAAATACCAATACACTTCAGTGAGAAAACAGGTGTTAAGGTACAATAAACTAAGTTTTGTATCTCTAGTAAGTGAGCAACTTAACTTCAGAAGCTGATAGGATATAAAACAATGGTACAGGTAAAAGTTAGGGCTCAGAAATCAACCTATCTAGAGTTCAAATTCTGATTCCATCATTTACTAGCTGTGTCCTTGGGCAAACTATTTAAATTTCCTGAGCTTCACTTTCCTCACACTTATAAAACTAGAATAATAATCCCCAGAGACTTTATTAAGGGTAAATACAGTAATAGCAAAGTGAGAATGTAAGCTTTGTAGTTGAACTGCTTGGATTCTAATCCCGATTACCACTAACTCTGTGACCTTGAGCAAGTTTCTTAACCTTTTCGTGTCTCATTTCAACTCTTCAAACCTAGAACTGAACTCACCCAGGTGGATCATCTTTCAGGCAAACAATAGACAGGCCTATAAAGTGAACAGTAACACCAGGGAGGAACACGCTCCTTAGAACAACCAACCTTACCAGATCAAAAGGGCAGGAAAGGAGGAGGAATGGAAATGCGTAACACAAGGAAGAAGCGGGAAGAGGGCTGGTACATCGTGGGGATTGTAAGCAATGTCACAATGTAAAATATATATAAATTATTAAGTGGAAAACTATCTGCTCTGTAAACTTTCACCCAAACCACAATAAAAAGGTGAAAAATAATAAAAACAAAATATATTAAATGACATCAATGGAATCTACTTCACTGTGGTACTGTGAAGTTTAGGTAAGAAAATATTATTATAGATATTCAGGGTAGTTGAATGATGGCACTTGTGAAGCCCAAGAGTAGATATAGGGCTAACCACACATAGGCTGGGCTGCATGCAGGCACCCATCCTTCTAGTACCTGTTTGAGTAATGAGAACTCCAGAAACCAGACAGTTTATAAAGTGCTACTGAGAAAAGGGGAGAGAGTAGTAAGCTTAAGGCAAGATATAAAACCACAGGTTCTTCCATTCTTCAACATTCACTATATCACAGTCTACAGAAAATGAAAGGGTAGAAAGTACTACTCCATCTATTATATAATCAAAGACAAATAAAAAGCATTAAGAGATTAATACTTCAGATTTTTAAATTATTTAAGTTAGCAGCATCATATAGCACTGTTTTAGATCTTGTTAACTTCTACCAAATAAGACAGGCCTTTACCCTCAAGGAAATCACACTTTAAAGGAAAAGGAGACAGGTACATAAATAATTAAGAAATTAGGAATGGAGAAAGTACTTCTGGTGAAAAATTACTGACAAAGCTTATGCAAACTGTAACTCTTTCTCAGTTAGGAAAAGAGCAAGAGGACATGGTTTTTCTTTATGTGGTAATTTTAAGGGCAAATTAGTTAGATTAAGTCTTTAATAAACCAACATTGTCTACCCTAACAATTTCATAATCCTTACATTCTCTATATTAAACTGTATCCTATTAATAGAGCTTTGGTAGCATAGTGGCTAAGACACTTGCCTGCTAACCAGACGGCTGGCGGTTCAAACCCACCAGCCACTCCTCGGAAGGAAGGTTGGGCAATCCTACTTCCGTAGTGATACTGCCTCGGAAACCCAAGGAGGGGTCGCTATGAGTCGGGGCCGACTCGACGGCACATAACAACAACAACAACAACATTAATAGAG